TCTTCTTTCTTTGGAATCTTGCTGAGGTGTCCTTCTTTCCAGTCCATCGGCACTTGTTCCGCCTCCCAAATCTTCTTGAATAGAAGGTGAAGCATGTTTGTAGTTACTTCGATGTCTGACTTCAGTGCTTCAGCTGGTATATTGTCAGGTCCTGTTGCTTTCCCGCTCTTGATTTGTCTGATGGCCGTCCTGATTTCTTCCGTCGTTGTTGGATTGACATCTATAGGAAGATCTGTGTGTGCTGCTTCGATGTCCAGTGGATTCAATGGGGCCAGCCTATTCAGGAGTTCCTCGAAGTATTCCACCCATCTGTTCCGCTGTTGTTGAATTTCAGTGATTGGCCTGCCTTCTTTGTCTTTGACCAGTCTCTCTGGTTTACTATATTTCCGTGCTAGTTTCTTCGTTGTATCGCAAAACTGTTTCATATTTCCTTCTCTTGCAGTTTTCTCAGCGGTCGTTGCTAGTTGTTCCACGTAATTCTGCTTGTCGACCTCGATGCTCTTCTTCACTTGCTTGTTTGCTTCTATGTACCCAGCTTGTGCTTGGACTTTCTCTGCTCGTGTTCGGCTGTTGTTACTTGCTGTCTTCTTGTTCTTCCTTTCTTTGATCCTGTCCAGTGTTTTTATAGAGATCCATTCCTTGTGATGATGCTTCTTGCGGCCCAGAACCTCTTGACACATTGAAGTTAATGCTTCTTTGATACCTTTCCAGTTATCCTCCATTGTAGTTTCTTCTTCGTTCAGCAGATCCTGTAAGGCTTGGAACCTGTTGTTGAGAGCTATGTTGAATTCATTGAGTTTGTCAGTGTCTCGAAGGATGGCTGTTTTGATCATTGGTAATGTTGTTTCCCTAGTTTTCCAGTGTTTGTTTAGCTTAAGTTTTATCTCGGTCAACACCAGGTGATGATCTGAAGCTACATCAGCTCCTCTCTTGATTCTCACATCCTCCATTGTCCTTCGGAATTTTTTATTGATGCAGATATGATCTATTTGTTTCTCTGTGGTGTGGTCCGGTTAGATCCATGTAGCTTTGTGTATACGTTTGTGTGGAAATATTGTACCACCTACGACCAATTTGTAGAATGCACATGAATTCGCAAATCTCTCCCCATTTCCGTTTCTCTATTTAAGTCCATGTCGTCCCATGATATCTTCATATCCGGTGTTGTCTATTCCGAATTTGACGTTGAGATCTCTCATCAGAATGATGAGGTGTTTTCTTGGGTACTTCTCTATGATTGACTGCAGCTTCTCATAGAATTGATCTGTACTGTTGTCGTTGCTATAATTGGTGGGTGCATAACATTGGATAACATTCGTCGTAATTCCATCCTTCTTTGTTTTGAATGATGTTTTGATGATTCTGGATCCGTGAGATTCCCATCCCACAAGTGCATTTCGTACTTGCTTGGACAGCATTAGAGCGTTTCTCTGAATGTGTGGAGCATTTTCCTCTTCGTGACCGGAGTAAAGCAGCATCTCTTCCGTATCCAGACTTTTCTGTGCAGCTTGGTTCTAAGTAGTTTCGCTGATTTCCAGTACTTTCAAGTTGTATCTCCTCATTTCCGTTGCTGTTTATCTAGTATTCCCGGTCTTCCACATTGTCCTCACGTTGCATGTACCTATAAAAATTGTTGCTCTGGTTGTTAGAGGGAGCATGAACCTCGTGATTTCCGAAGGAACTGGGCTATCTCCATATGGCGTCATAACTCTTCTAAACGAAGAACTTCTAACTTCCAGAGCAGAATTTAAACGATTTGAATTCAATTTTCAGGTTAGCGTTTTCTCAGTGAGTTAGTTTTCTACGGGATGGGGTCGTTAACCCCATGCCAAACCCTCCTCCTTTGCCCGGGCTTAAAACCGGCAGTAGCTCTAGAAGAGCTACAGACGGAGTTGCGTAACTCAAAACCATTGCGACAGCGAGTCACATATTTCAAAATTGTTAGAGGAGTTTTCATCAATAGCTTTTCTACTATCACGTGTCATTCTCGGGACTGAATGTAAGGTAGTCATTTTCTGAACTAAGATTGACCTTATAGAAACGAGGTTTTATCTAAGGGCTGCATGGTTTTGTGAACACATGAAGCAATGAAATGATGATGCAAGATGTCTACGATCTGTTGCGTAGTTCGTCTTTAATGTTCTACTGTATAGTCGGTACATTCTAGAATTATCGATTGCATAGTATTAGGTCTTATTCATATTGATCAATAACAATTGAATGTGTAACAACTAAAATGAGTATGATGTGAAATGAGTTTGTACAGATAGAATATTTTCTATGGATGTGTTTATATGTATGTGTGGCTTTGTTAAGGACGTGAAACATTCCTTCGAATTGTTGCAGAGTTTAACATTCATAATGTTCTAGAATTGTTGCATGGTTAATGTCATAAGTCCACATATAAGTATATATTTATGCGCAGAAAATGAAAGTGAGAATTAAAATAGAACTACTGATGGTTTATAGGAATTCATTTTATTGACCACATCCATGTTTCAGTAAAACACTGTGGTCATGCATCTTGAGTATTACCTAAGGGTACTGTCCGACTCTCGAGAATGCAGTGGGTTTAGTTGGAAGATGGCATTATCTTGTGGACTAGTAAGTCGGATGTTTAGTTGGTACAGTTCGGATGTGGTAGACGTAGTCATGGTTCATTGAAAAACTAACGAGTAGTGAGGACAAGATGGTTAGTATAAGAATTTCCCTATTAAAATTATAGTGATATAAACGGGATCATGTCAACGTAGTTGTGTGAGCTCTTACTAAACCGTTTGTTTGGAGGCTCAAGCCAGCCATTAATTTACTGTTTACACGAAAGTGAAACACAGAATCGCGTCGATGTCTATTATGAAGTAAAGACGATTTGCTCAGTGATGACTCGTCAGTCATAAACACTATCTGTTGTCTAAGGTTGTTGTGTGTGGCTAGTGTCACATGATTTTGCCACTCATTCAACTGGTCGATTACATTTCTTGTTACTCTTGTTAGATGAATTCAGTTGAGCCAGTTGTATAAAACGGGTGACAAGTAGTTGCAACTTATGATTGGCACTAATTATCATCGCTATCATCATGTTGGCTTGTAGTAATCTTATCCGCCAACTGTCGGTATTATTGCCACAATGGTCATAAGTACATTGAATTTATTTATCTCCTACTTACAATAACGGTATTTGCGGTGCTGCATTTTTATTGTACAAAGCTTCGTGTGAATATATGATTGTTGTACATAATATCACTCTTTCACTGTACATGCCGTATTGTTATGTACATCTTTCTCTGACTATAGTTGAATAACGTTTTATGTTGTTGTTGTTGTTGTGTACTTTGTAACATTTGTGCACCACCTGTTTCTTCCTTAACACAATTGTTCCCCTCCTTGTGTCGCTTCATTGCAACATGCTCGTGTGTTTGGATTTGTGCATTTAAACAAAAATATTAGTATTTTCTCTCTTTTAATATATCACCATTGTGAATGATTATCACGTGTATTGAATTTAATTTTGTTTCTGGTTTTTGTTTTTGTGATACCAATTATTTCGTTCACTGATTGAGTGTAAACAAAGTAGAAATGTACAAATTACCAGTAAAATCTAATTGTTGAATTTGTATAATGAAGCATAGAATGTATCCTGTTTTGGCACCATTATTGAAAGTGGTAAATATTATGTTCAGGTGACTGGGTTGTCGTTTCTTGTTGTAGACGACAGAGAGGAAACGCAGTACTTTCACTTGATGTGGAATTGCGAATCTTTTCCTCTTAATCGTTTTGCCGAAAGGAGAGACTTCTTAACGATGATACTGTGCGTACTCTATTATCATTATTTAATGTCAGTCGGTCCTTGTGGAACGTCGAACTGGTTTGACTTTGTTACTGGAAGTACTTGATAATTAGAAATGAATTTGGGCATATAATCTGCGTTCGAGCTCATCACCACGGTGTACATGTCACACAAGATGGTGTCTTAGTGTTTCATTTGATGATGTGTAGTTTTTTATGGATTGAGAAGAGTTGAGGAGGATAATCGACAACTTTTGGAAAGTTAGTATTGATACCGACTGAGTAATCTGTGGAGATGTGGATATTGGTTGAGTTTGTTGGCATCTATTGAAGACGAGATGTGTCATTGTTTGAAGGCTTCTCTACTGTAAGTGTGAGTGTCAAACTTATTGTTAGGGGTTGATTAACATTCATTCGTGATCCAAATATTTCTTTAAACAAACGGGTCAATGTTCGTCATAGTTTTTGAATTCCACTGTTACCAACCATTCCAGATGGTGGTTCGGATGAAGTAGCTTCTAAGACATAATTCTTCATGGGGGAGGGATCTAGAATACAACAGGACTCGTGTGATTGTATGGTATCATCATGGGATTCTCACTTTCCACCTATTGTGGTCTGTAAATCAACACATTTTTATGTCCTGATGAGCGAACCCCTGAATGTCGTGTGTGCTAGCCTAGGCGTGGGAACCGTTCTTAGTAGATTTCTGTTCAAACAATCCACCATTGTTCAGCCACCACTTTGGTGTTTACTAACTGTGAGAGTTGATACTTGTTGTGGAAAGTGTTAGCAGTTGATTTGGAGGCAGTTCAACTTTCACTGACCGTCGATATTTCACTCTTCAGTATTTTCACATATTGTCAACTATGGAAGAGTTGTAGTCTCGTTTGACATGAAGCACTGGGATGCGTGTAAGTTACCGATGTTTGCAAGTTCGTAGGTTTTCACTTTAACGCTAAGAAAAGTTTCGTTTGATCAGGAGAGTAATAAGTGGATTAGCTCCACCAGTCGTGTGTGTATGTGTTTGCGTAATCACTCTGACTACTAAGACTAAATGATCGGAGTAAGTGTGAATCACTCATACCTTGACTTGTCTCACTTCATTGTGTATTAATTGTTCTGTGTTTTTATGTTTATTTTTGTTACTATTTGTATAGTCGAAGCCCTTGCCAACACTGAAAGATGCAGATTTTCTAACAGATTTGTGCAAAATGCATATTGGTGAAGAGTCTAAAAAGAAGATGTTAAGTACTCTGGAATGTGATATACAAGTAGGTGATTGCTTGTTTGCTTGACTGATTGATTGGTTGGTTGGTTGGTTGAGTGCATGGTGCATGTGTTTTAGCATTATGTTGTCGGTTTTGTGTAGATTGATTTCTAAAATATGTGACAAATTTTGGAAGGTATCTTACAGTTACATTCTGTGTATACTGCCAGTTGGAAATGAGGTGAAATTGTGAAATGAATGAGTAGGACCATTGGCTTTCTGTCTGTTGGTCTTCTGTTGGAAAGTGTATAGAGTTTGTGGTTGGTAGTGGTGTGACAGTTCCACATTTAAATGGTTACTTTCGATAAGACAAGACCACATGTAGTGCTTGTGTACTCTTAAAGTAGTCATGTCATTGGTACTTCAGAAGGAATCGAAATTTCACAATGTTAAGAATATGTTTTACGTTATTCTTGACAATGAATTCCACACTTGGATGCACTTTCCTACAATCGACAGTGCCATCTTCATCACCATTTCTAATAATCGTCATCATCATGATTATAGTTATTCCTCTCATTTTCATGTGATTAGTTGATTTTACTGTGTCATAATTGTGACATTTTCTTCTTCAGTGTTGTTTGATGGGAGTTTCCTATTGAGGATAGTTGCAGTTATTGTGATTCGAGAGTACAGTATGCTGCTTATCGTTATGTGTTATTATTAATCCATAGTATGGTGATATTTGTCGTTTGTAAAAGATTTGACCGTCAGATAAACCATTGACTTCGTACATAACCCTGACGAGATTTACTTAGTCGATTTCATATCACTTAATGCAGTAGGAGAGACGAGATGTTTGTGTCAGTGTGTGCGAATCTCGTGAGCATGTTCGTATTCACAGTGCATATTGAGTATGATTGTGAGCAGTGGTGAGTGAGTAGTGAAAGCCTTAAAGATGAAAAAGACATCGTCGATAGGTAACAGTAGATAACTGTTCAAAGTATTATAAATCCGTTTATTAGTGAGATTATCTCTGGAAAAGTTGTGATTACTATTGACTCTTCGTGCAGGAGATCGGATCGATTGACAAAACACTTTAGGGAACATTTCAACTGGCCTTTAGTTGTGCTTGTGACAATCACAAAGGAACCAGTTTAACTAATATAGTGTCCAAAATGTTAGCGTTAATAGTTCTTCGAGACGTAACTTGGGCTCGTGAAGAGCAAGTTCGAGATAACGTGTCTAATTTCACACTTGGATGTGAATGTATAGAACGAAACTATCACTCTCCGACAGGTTTTGGATTATATACATACTTTTTTACGTCTAGATGTAGTTGTATTCCTTGACTGGTTGTTGAGTGGTTGATTTTCCACCAAGGGATTCTTTTGTTGACTCAGAATAAGCGGATGGTATAGTTGTGTTTGGTGAAGACGTTGACAGAATGCAGAGTCTTGTAACCATTTTAAGAAACAATGAAAGGATACATGAGATGTCTACCTTCAAATGCTGAACGTTGCATCAGTGCCTGAATCAATGATTGGGGTTGAGGTAGTTGAATGTATCGACCACTTGACTTATCTTAGAAGTGCCACCAGTTTTTTGGTCTGGTGTGTGACGAAGTCTCTACACGGATTGAGAAAACTGGACCGGCTTTTGTCAACTTGGTTAACTTGTGGCACAAGTGGGATATCCGTCTGCTAAACAGAGTATGTGTTTGCTGCGCAGCATTTTGCTCCGTTCGACTTTACGGACGTGAAATACGACTATTGAGAATAGAGAGTATTCTTAGGTTCCTAGTATTTGTTTGTAGGCATCTTGGAAGCATTGCTGGTGTGTTTTGGGAGAACCGAGTAAGCAATGCCTGTGTTAAGAATATGGTACTAGGTAAAGATGGCGACCGAACTTTGCGTTAGCTTTTTTCATCGACTGAGGTGGTTGGGACATGTGTTACGTGTGTGTTCAACCACCACCGATCTTAACGGATAATGTTGTGTGGTGTAGGAATTGTATGGAAGAAAGTTAGAGGTCGACAAACAAAACATGGCATTAGTCCATAAAGTTGTTAACAATTGGACTGAGCCATGTGAATGGGTGTAGACTTGCTGGTTGTGGTTCGCGTGATTATTGTAACCAATGGTCAGATACTTTGAATGACATGGCTGGAAATCGTTTGCGATGTCCCAGGTTCATCTACTGTTTGTCTCTTCCTGAAAGTCTGAGCTTTTGAGTTCCTCATATCTTTTTTGTGTCTTCTAATTGTCAGTTAATTTGCTCCCATTGTTCTGTTCTTCTTTTTATTACATCGAAAGGTGAAAATGAACTTGACCTTTTATTTTCTACTCTGTCTTTTTTCGCTTATTTTCGCTAATGAAGTGTACATAGTTTTATCAATATGATTTCAGTGAGACCTTGAAAAGTTCGCTTCTCTCCTTCTTATTGTTGTGTTTGTTTGTGTTTCCGCAATTCCTATGCTGATCTCGGCATGCATCACATGAAAGAAGCATGTGACGTGGTAACACTACTAGGAGCACTGTTTGGTTGTAACACATGGTGCGATGTGTTACAACTGTCTACGCCTACACTTTCAATCTTCATTACTAACGTATGAATTATTGAAGTTGTGAATAGCGCATATCTACATTGTGTTCAGTGTTTTTGTACCGTTGTAATTTACATTTAATGTGAGCTGGATATTTGTATGTCTTATGCTGCGTCGTGAAACAGTTGAGGTGTCTTGACATTTTATTTCGTTCTAAATCGTGTTTATTATACGGCGTAACAGTTTGATTGCACTCATTGATCATCTGAGGTTTCACAACCATTACTATTATTACTGTAATGAATACCAATATGTGTGTTGCCACAATCTGTGCATATATGTTCAGTGGTCAAGATCTCTTTGAGTAGAGAGGTGTACGATGCATCAGAACGGGAGGTGATCGGAATCGTCCAATTAATATTAGGATTGATTTCATCCTGAGTGTCTCCTACCATTTGTGTGTATGTGTGTGTGATTTGTATGAGATCGGTGTAGCATATTCTGATACACCTTGTTACACGTGGATATCTAGAACGTTGCTAATAACAGCTATGCTACGTTGGTTTGCTATGTTGTAATGTGAACCCGTTTAAAACTCAACCGAATAGCATATAAAATGCTAGCCTCAATAATTATCGGGCGCCTAACAAATACTCGTGAAGTGCAAACACGAGAAAACCAGACTGGCTTGAGATTTGGTCGTGAGTGTATCGACCACATACTAACCATTTGTCGGGTCTTAGAACACAGACATGCTTATCGGCGTCCGGGAATGGTGGTCTTTCTTGACTTGAATGCAGCATTTGATTCTGTAGACCGAGAGATTCTGTGCTAGTTTCCGTCATTGAATGATGTACCTCAGAAGTACATAAACCTTAAGAAAGCTCTTTAGTCGAACACCACCACTTGAGTCAGAGCTTGTGGCGAACTGTTATCTGACTTTGCAACATCAAGTGGTGTCCGTCTCCATTTTTATCCAACCTTATCATAGATCTACTGATGGATGTGGCGCATGTCTATTTGGTGCCTCCTTGTACCAAAGTTTATGTGTTTAAATAAATAAATGAAGAAGACAAGATATCCATCTATCAATTAAAGGACAAGTATACTGTTCATCAGTTCGTTCTGTTTTAATCTACGGCTGTGAAACTTAGCCATTGAGGGTAGAGGATATTCGTAAGCTACTAGTATTTGATCATTTTGTTGTTTATTGCAACCGCACAGATTATTGTATGTTGATTGACGATGATGAGTGCTGTAAGAGAATGTGTTCTGATAATAAATTGACAGTAGTTTATCATTGAGTTGGTAATAAACAGTTTTTCCATAATCTTGTTTTGGTAACTAATTGTGGCTTTTCATTATTGCTCGAAATATGAATGAGCAACGATTGTATTTGAACGCTGATCAGTGTTGTATCATTAGTGCATTGTATATTATGAAATGATATCTGAGTAGCAAGTGTCGAACGACTGTTTGGTGTCACACTGAATACGAGTTGGTTGAATAGTTAATCAATGTACTCAGTGAAGGAATTGACATGATGTGCATTTGATTGTTGATGTCTTCCTCCCATTTGTGGTAGACATTCGACACGAATGTATTGAATTACTTAGTGATGCATGATGTTGTGATTGTGTTTGTTTGTTTGTTTCTCTTTTGTCTCGTGACAGTTCCTACAGGAAAACAATTTGATCGACTATAGCCTTCTTATTGGTGTGCATAATCCTGAGATTGCACTGGCTAGTTCAATTGAGGATGCTGGTGATGACGGTGAAGGGACTGGTGGTGTGGGCGTTGGTGGTAGTGGTGGTGGTGTGTTGGAGCCTAACAGTCGAGGCTTCGATGACAGGATGGTGTCTGCAGGTGACGGTCTGGGAACGCTTAGTTCACAATGGCAATGTGGTCGTTTGTCTATGGCTAGGTCGAGTATTGTGCTTGGTCTGAGCTCGTCAGCAGCTGCCGAAGCTGCTAGTTGTGGTGTTGGTGGTGTCGGGGTTGGTGTTGGTGTTGGTGTTGTTACTGGGAATGCGAGCACAGGTGATGATGACGATGAAGAGGAGGACGGGATCAGTATACCAGAGAACAATACACAAGTCCCTACAAGTAGGTGTGATATTGTTATTGTTGTGTTATTCCATTTGTTGTTAGAGAGTTCAATTTGACTGACTACTCTATCTTAGCATTAATTAACGTAATAATTGTAATTGGATTTCATCGACTGACTGACTAACTGACTGACTGACAGGTTTGTGTGAATAAGATTGTGCATGTATGATGACCTGGATGTGTTGTGCGTTGATGTATTATTCGTACGGTAATTTGTATCTTGTTCCACTTTTGATGATTTCAAGTGGCCTTGATGTCAACCTAAGTGTAGCGAGTGCGTACTACGATGCCTGACATTGGAAGGAAGGACGAAAGTTAGATAGATAGATAGATAGACAGAGTGGTAGGTGAACGAAGTGATGAGATTGTTTGATTGGATTGATATGAATGCATGGATGTGAGGTGATGTACTGTGTGTCGATGAATAGTTGATGGGATTGTGCACCACGTGAATGGGCTGGTGTTTGCTTGATTGTATGAGAATTGTGCGGAAAGAATTGAAGATAGACGAAGATGCAGTTCAATAGTTGATTTGACTTTCTCTGTATACCTTCTGTGTGTTGTTCGTTTCAGGTGAATTGACCCCACCCGATAGTCCACCTGGTGCAGAATGTCTACCTCAATTATTCTCAGGTGAATTGCATCCTACTTTAGAACATTATGGAATCAAAAGTTCAATTGGTAAGAGGATATTTTGTGTTTGTATTTTTGCAATGAAATACAAGATGTTTAAAGTTTTATGTGTGTGTTTGTGTGTATGTGTGGAGCATTAATTCTCGTTTCTACAAACCGTATGTGTCAAATGTGAACATTTTCAGTGAGAGTGGCTGTATCGGTATGGTGTGAGGTAGAAATCGACGGTTTTTTTTTGTTTTGATTAACCTGACAACATATTTGTGCATTGATATTTGAAGAACTAAAGTGAGAAACAGACCTCGTAGTTGGATTTTGAGTTGGTGCTTTTAGTGTAATGACGGTGCAACCGACCTGTTTGGAATGGGGGAGTGAGTGCTAGTGGAACAGTTGTCCGAACCAACACAGTTCGATTGAGTCATCACAGTAAGGAAACATGGCCATCATATTGAGGTATCAGTTATGGTCGGTTAGTGTTGTAAAAGGGGAATAGATGAGACATGTGCAGCATCGAGACTGCTTCGTGCACTCCTTAAAGTCCAGTGTAAAATAGGTAGACACGAGGACATTCTAGGTGTAGACTATTCAGTGTTTTGCCATGTGTATTTATCCGATTGTTCTGTGAGATTTGTGTTTATCATAACAGTTTGTTGTTTGTTGTTGAATAATTGTGCACATGCACACGGTACATGGAATTCGTTTGAATGACTGATGTTTGAGTGAAGTGCGTGAACGACAGACATTGTTTCAATAGTAAAGATTTGTGATATATATGTATTGATGAAACATGTTGCTACTCATATGGATTATGTTGTTGTGTTATCTTGTTTTTCTTGTTGTTTGACAGATTCTCCTCATCCACTGATCTATTTTGTGGCTATTATCGACATACTAACTCGTTATGGAATGCGTAAACGTACAGCGCAAACGTACAAAACAGTGAAACATGGTGCTGATGGTGGTTCTGTGAAACCGGAATTCTACGGTCGTCGTCTATTGGAATTTGTTGAACAGTGCATTGACTGAGCGGAATGAGAAGTCTTAGTTGACCTCTGTCCGAATGTACGCATCGTTCCCTCTCTCTCTCTCTCGTTCGCTCGCTCTCATTCTATCTATCAATTTGTCTATCTATCTAACTGTGTATGTATGTTGTTTGCTGTATTGAGTTCCTATGTGTTTGTATATAATGCGTGCATATGCAACTATTCAACTATCTATCTGTACACATAGGCCGCTAAAGCATGCATACACACATACATACATGCATTTATATATGGGCACAAACACGTAGGCACTCACACTCACATATATTATGGATAAACAAACGGGCATGGACGTGTTGCCCGTTATGGTTCCACTGTCGAGGAATTGTGATCAGAAACCTTCTTTCTTTTGTTTTGCTGCATTTTTATTTTATCGAGTATTTATTTCTCTTTTGTTGACTACATTTTGGACACTTTCAAGTGTTCAGCGTGCATGTGACTGACTTTTCATTGATTAGATTGTTTATTTGAAGAATACTGACTGTGATGTTGGCATAGTTGCTGAAGGTGGAATGATGTTGGATGTGAGATGATATAGTTAAATGAGAGTGGTGACTAATTGTAAGCAATGTGATTGTGTTTATTACTTGATAATTTAGTCTCATGAAAATGAATAGTGAATAATACATTGATGTTGTTATATGTTGAGATTATCGGATTTTAGATTGACAGTTATCGGTTTAAGAATATTAGATGATATGACAATATTGTCTGATTATTGATTCTTTTCTATTTAATAATTTTTCGTAGTTTAGTGTTTGAATGGTGCTTATTTCCTGTGAATTATTCTTTGCATTAATAATTGTATAAAATGTGTAATGAATAAGATTGTTCTACAGCGTTCTATACTAATTGAAACAGAAATTATGACAGTGTGACATTTGAAACATTAACTACTATGTACTAAGCAATAAATATAGAATGAATCAATTATACTGTAAGGAGTTTGGATTGATTTAGCAATCAGTTGGTATGTTAATAATTGTTCAATTAGTTCTTCTAGACCAATTTAATTTTTAATGAGTTCAATAAATACCCAGACTCTCACATACATATAGAAAGTGTGCCAGGATTGAAAGTGATAATGAATTATTTGATTTAGTACAAGTTAATTAGTAGTTTGATTGAAAATAACGTATTTGACTCTCACATGATTTTTCTACTTTGAAGCAGTTCAAACAAGAATGGACTTGCTTAGATGTTTGCTATGAGTAAACAATATTTTCAGTCAGATTGAATGGTATCCATGATGTTAATACCAAAATATTCTAAATGATGCGTAAATCAATGGAGGTTATCTAGTTATCTGAGACGTGAAACTGGTATCTACAAAATGAATTAGGAACTCAATAAACTTGAATAAAACACAATTTTCCTTTCGAATAGTTAGATTACGACTATTAGCGTAATCCGCGATATATGTTCGGTTTGACTTCGGGCTGGTCAGGTGTAGGTGTGTCCGCTGCCCCCAAATGCCCTGGTACGGCCGAAAGTGGGGAGAGACCGCTCTCCCTCTCGAAATGCTCTCACATGGCCATGCGTATATAGCCTCTGCCAGGGAAGTCCTACTCACTGCCTTCTCGTGGCGGGGGTGTTGTTTACAAAAATGAGAGGACGAAAAGCGAATGTCTGGCGCTTTAACCGGACCCAAAACCAATGGTGCACATGGGCTCCAGTATCCTGCGGGAACAAATGGCGTATGAACCAATCGTTGGTCACCGGCTACCATGGGACTGCATCTCCTCACGATGCTCCACTGCCTTGTGGGTCAGACGTTCAGGTCGAAGGCTCGGGGTGTGGCCCCTTAAGAAAACCACCTGCTTCGGTTTGGGCACCCGGGCAGTATCACAGCCCTCACGCAAATCAATTGAGATTTGTGTGGCGCATATGTATTTGGTGCCTCCAGGTGTGTCCGCTACACCGCACGATTCATTTTCACATTGAAGCTGAAATTTAGCGTCTTTTTAAAAAGAACGAATTATCTACTGAGTTACTGAATCCAAATATTACGTTTTTTCAATGTCTGTAATGTTTATGTCACTGAATATCAAGAAGGCGATAGTTGAAACCCTAAATAACAAGACTATGATGAATTCACTTTATTATTTCGAATGCACACATATTGACTAACCCCACAGTTTGGGAAGTGAATGACTCCAGACTATGAGCCCTGGAAGCGATTCTCTCTTTAATGAATAATTATCAGGATTAATTCTTGCGCCATTATAACACTTTTGGCTTAGTTCATATTTTCTGTTCTTACTTAATTTGCCCAATGCAAACAATATTCTCGTGTTTATTGTTTGATTTTCCCTATGAAATGTTTTACGATTTATGCATATCCTATTTTATCAACCTTCCATTTTGAATTAATACATATTGGCTGGCCATAATAACCACTTTTAATTGTGTAATATTGTGATATCTTTCACTTCAAAAGGATCGTAAGCAACTAAAGACAGTCCGAGAAATATATAATAAATTCATAAGGTGAACTAGCTGTAGAAAATACACAAGGTAGTCATTATGAATTGGATCAGGGTTAAGACGATTGAGAAAGTCTACAACTTCCACTAAGTTTGTCACAATGATGTGTTGCGAAACATTTAATCTAAGTCTTTTAATGGTTGCAGGGAGTACGTAGCACGGCGTACCCACTCGTGATCTGGTACAGATGTGTGACCGAACGTCTGCTGGGGTGTATCCATCATCATTGTCGAAGACCTTCAGATCTACTTATTTTGCTTATTTATTTACTACTAAAGTTCACTCTCCCACTATTGGAGTATTGATGACCGTAAGACGTTACCATCCAGAAGTTTAAACTATAAGGCATCATCGATAGTAAATACTCATTTGATAGCTCGCTATGTCCTGCAGCATCTTGTTATCTTTCTCTGTAGCACAACATAACAATAATAATGATGCAAAATGAATGATTTGATGTATCATATTCGTCGGTTTTTCCTTTTATTCCAATCCTTTTGGGAAAGTGAAAAATAAATATATAAATGGATGTCAAGACACACGTACTATTGTAAGGAATCAAAATGTACAAAAAAACCGGTAAATATATGCACATTCCATGCGACAGCGTGAAAAATTTCACAAAGGTTTTCTTTGATTTTTTTATCGAAAAAATAATATACAGGTATATTAGCGTATTAAAGAAAGACAGTTTCTTCGGCACGATCATATAAAATAAACTGAGAATGCAATCAAATAGTTGTGGGATGCGTAAAGCAATAATAAACCAAAACGTGTACCATATCTTCCGTGTAGTAGTTCAAATTTTTCCGGAATCCTTAATGTTCTTTCGGTGTGCGTTGATTTGGTCCGGATACTAACCAAGTTTCGTCTTCGTTAATCATCAGGAATGACTTCTTAATCGTTAGGCGTGTATCGCTCGATTGTTTAGGAGGAATGACGATGTAATTATGGTTTCTTTCTAAGTAAGCGGCTTTCAGACGGACAATGCTGATGTTATCGTTAATCCCGTTCTTATCGATAGTATTTACTTAGAATTTTGATGCAGAACTTTGAAGGGTTTTTCGTATGTCATTTTGAAGGGGTATCATCATGAATCGCGACGTACAAAGACGCTTAGACTAAGTCTTTAGGCCGGTTGGATGAGAACAGTTGGCTGCAGTAGAATTAAAGCAGGTTTGACTGAACGCATGGTGTTTGTAGGCTTGCAGATCTAGGTAGTTTAGATCTACATTCACTGAAGATAAAGGATCTATGAATTCTCCCGGAAGTCAGTGTCGTTCTGTAAACGGGTTGTGACCCAATATATCCAATGTCAACTCTCAATTTAATGAGAATATCGAGTAATAATATTGGGAGTGCGTCAGTCCATCGTGATTCATTCGCAGATGATAGCGGAATATTCAACTATCGGTAAAATTGTACTGTCAATCTGTTAGCTTGTGGGTAGTAGGTGTTCGTTCAAAATCGTGTGATTCTTAATAATACAGTAAGACAACGAAAGAGTCCAGATTCGGACTGGCGTCCACGGTCTGTAGTAATAATTGAAGGTCAGCCGAAGTTTGCTACCCACCGCTCGACGAAGGCGGGGGGCACTGTTACAGCAGTAGTGTCCTTGATAGGTACTGCCTCTGGCTATCATGTGAAACGATCCATACACGTTAAGATGTAAAAGTATCCATTTGAATCTGGTAAAGGTCCTACCAAATCATGATGAACGTGGTCGAAATGAGCGTCAGTCGTGAAACGGTCTAGGGGGCAAGTGTCGTGCCTGTACACCTTAGATTTCTGGCAGCCTATTGTAGAGCATGCCCACTACATCACGTCTCTATTCATAACTGGCCAACAAATAGTCCCGTTATGAACTTGACGGTTGTTCGAACACTTGAATGAGAAATTTTGTACATGTTGAGGATGTTGCGTCAGTTATGTTTCGACTTGGTTGGAGGATCCCTACTGGTATATGTATGACATAGTCAATTTTCCTTACCATTTATCATGTGTTTGAGTCAGGTTGTTGAAGACAACTCGTGCCAAAGATCTCTGCTTTCTTTTTGAAGGTGGGCAATTTTAAGAGAGTCAGTTCATTGAAAAATGTTTTGTTAATTTATAGGAGGCAAGCCATCTGTAATTACGTCGTTTGCCCACAAATATATTGCAAATCTGAAGCGCGCCGCGAGACGTAGCCCAGTTGTGGAGACTTAACATGGGAGGGCTTGTCTGAAGACAAGTTTAGTGAAAAGATCAAAGGTTTGTGATCGGTAGACATGATAGATTATCGATCTTCCACAGAGTGTTGGCAGTGTACAACACAACACATAGCTATGATTTCCCTGCTGGAAGTGCTGTATCTCAATTCATTATCTTGCAATTGCCTGGAGATAAATGACAAAGGATATCATGTGTTGTTTACCTATTGTCGTAAAACTCCTTCGATTTACGAGTCGGATGGGTCTACGGATATACCAATGGGTGCTTTTATGTTTTGATGTGAGAGTATAGTTGTTTTTACGATAATTTCGTTTACTGCGTATGAATCATCGATAAAAACTCAACAGATCGTTAAACGTGCATAATTGCTTGCATGTAGTTGGTTTTAGGTAATACAGAATATCAGCCACTTTTGTTTTTCAGATAGCAAATACCTTGAGCGTCAATGAAATGTCTGGGAAAGTCATGGGAATCGCTTTCTATCTGAAAGTTCTTTTTTTTACAGTTATTCCATGTTTTTGCAGTTATTTGAAAACAAGGTCCATATGCTGGAAATGGGATTCTTTGTCTGTAATCGCTATCTGACAATCATCATCACATTCGTGCAAATATTTGAGACCTCTGAATACGTCATCTATGAATCTTTGAAAATTTTCTGCAGGATTTCGTTGACAGTAGAGCATGCGCACAAATTCATAGTGCCCGAAAGTTAATGAGAACTCAACTTCTTTCATGCTTCATATTATTGATTACATGAGTCAAATTCTTGAGTTAATAATTAAAACATCCAATCCCTTTTAACAATGAGAGTATGTAACTTGATTTTGGAAACTGTAAATTCTTATTTTATGTTTGATTTTAGAACTCTCAGTTTGTGTTTAATTGACAAGTTATTTATTTTTATACTGATACGTTTGGTAAATATATATGTAAATTCTATCACTTTCAGTATAGCTGAGAATTTTTCTTCCATTTATTAAGAAGTGGTTATCATATATCATGCAGTCAACTGAAAAGCTCAAATAATAATACCTTACTAATATTGTAGCATTTTTCTGAAAAATTACTTTCCCAAAAAATGTCTACAATTTATCCATATATGTGCCATCAAATGCCTTGGTACGACCGACGGTAGGGAGATTCCACTCTCCCTCTCGAAATGCTCTCACATGGACACGTGCATACAACCACTACCAGGAAAGTCCTACTCATTGCGTTCTCGTGG